GTGTGGTTTAAAAAAAAAAAAAACCCACCCAGATTGAGCTGTATTTAGCATCCTCGTTGGCGCGGCAACCGTGGGGCTAGCACAACTGGCTCTTGGGCTACTCGCGCGCGGGTGAAGAAAGCCCAAGATCCCAGTCTGCGATCGCCCAGTTAATTAACTTCCTCTTCTTCCCCCTCCTTGCCCAGAAACGAAGCCTGGAGTGGAAGCGACGGGAAAAGCCTCCCGGGACTCGCTCGGCTCTGCCTGACCCCGAGAGCAGGCAGCAGGCAGGGCGGCTGCTGCTGGCACCCACCCAGCTGCTCTGCTGGGATCCAGTTTGATCCAATTCCTCGTTGCCAGCGTTGCTCGAGCGCATTAAACTCTGGTTTTGATACAGCCTGGTGGGGTGACGTCCGTAACGCGACAGCGGCGGCCGGGCTGAGCTCACCTGCTCTCTTCCTGCATTTGGGGTTCCCCTTCTTACGTACGTTTTTCCAGCAAAAAAAGTGTTAAGCGATCCATATTTTTTTTTGTGTGTGTGCAGAGACTCTCTCGGATGTCTTAGTCCGAGCGCCGGGTGCCATGTCGCGCCTCTTCCACACAAATTTCCCTGCTGTTACGGCAGGGGGGGGGGGACGGAGGACAAAGGGAAGCCCCTTTGAAGGAAAAAAAAAAAGGATCCAAGAATAAAACGAGCCGTTTTATTAACTATTTATTAACACAGGGAGGTGGAAGGCACTCACTACTGCCGCAAAGCAACACGCCCTGTGCAGCTCCGTGTCCCAGCCCCAGTCTTAGCGTTTGGTTGTGAGGTGGTTTTTTTTTGGCAGAGCTCCTCTCTCCCCCCGGCCTCCACCCCGTAGACGGAGGCTGGTCCCCGGATCCTGCGAGCGCCCTGCCATGGGGGTCAGCTGTCCGTGCCCCAAGAGGTTGGGGTGTCCCGGGGGAGGGGGGCCAGGACCAGCTCCGCGGGCAGGGAGGAGCAGCAGCGAGGGGTTAAACTCCCATCAGTGTTGTCCTGCTGCTCGTCTTAAATGAAACTTATGAAAAATTATGTTTAAATCGGCTTTTTTTTATTTTATTTTTCTCTTTCCCCTGCAGCCTTGACTTCAGGCCAAAGAGGAGCTGGAAAGTGTTTAATTAGTAAGACAGTAATCAAGCCAGCCGCCTCCCCGAATCGGAAAGGCACGGTGCCAGCAGCCCTGAGCTGCTTTGCGAGAGGCCTGAGCTCGCTCCGCCATCCCCTCGCCTAAATCCCCCGGGAGAACCAGGAGCCGGGGAGGAGAAGCAGCTCCCTCCC